TTTCGCTGTGTTTAAAAATGCCCGCCACTCGACCCTGTCCTCAGCCAGATGAATCCCGTTAACACTCTCACATCCTGTGTCTTTATGATCCATTTTTAGTATTCACTTTTTCAGACTACACTTTCATACTCATGTCTCATCCCTCGTATGCGTGCTACATGTCCCGTCCATTTAATCGTTCTTGATCTGACACTGAGCAGAATACTTTATTAAATTAAATGTAATTTTTGGGCTGAAAATGCTTAAGCTACAAGGGAGAAATGCTATGTAATGGGAAGATAAACTACACCTCAATCACTCTTTATATTTTGCTTTTCTTCCTACGGCAAATGGATCTTTACGTAAATACAGAGGACGGACAATCACCTTCTGCCCACCTCACGAGTTCGCATGTGTCAACCTGATGTGTATTCACAAGAAATAATACCATTATTTACTAATCTCTTCTGTGTCGTATATTGGCCAAGGTACTATATTAGGTTATTATTATTATATTAGGTTATTATTATTGTATTTCTATAAATTTATCAATCCCTCACAGGAAGTAATTTTAAGCATCCTGGACAAAACACATGCTGTCAATTGGTGATGACGCAAAGCAGTGTTGTTAAACCTTAGTATACCTGATAAACATTAAGCACGTGCACGTTCGTGTATACCAATCACGTGGCATGACTAGAGGAGAATTCTCCATCCCTCTGTTTACATGAGGATTGTTCTTGGGTGAGACAAAGTATGCACAGACCTGCCTACAACAACTTTCACATCTCTGTGTCACTTCTCAGGTTTCAACTCTTAATGGATACCACATTCTGTGGAATTTCAAGTTCTGTTTCAAGTTGCGATCATCCTTTGTTTTCGTAATTCACCGTAATTGATGACGTTTACCTTGTAACAACTCGATCCCTACGCTTCACAGTTCTGGCGGAAGGATGTGTATAAAATTTTGTGACGATCGTATCAACATATATAACATAACGTTGCAAACAAAGTTCAGTGTGTAATATTTTTAAATTGCCCTGCATGAATGCCATTGATAACCTTTCTATGCCAGCCTGCATGCTGAGATCATTTAGTGCAGAGGTTCTAAAAATTTACCACAAATGCCTTTTCTTATCGATTCAAGGGCTACAAGAAAATAAATCGTGAAAATTCATTGAAATGCTGTGGCAGTTTATTAAAAATGCTACTGAACTATCCCTGTTTTTTAAACTGGTTCACACATTAACATAATAAGCCAAGACATTTGATACTGTTTTTGCGTGAGTAAATTTTCAGTATCAGGCCTAATTTCTGTGGCTGTGATTCACATGCATCCGTCCAACTTTTCATCACTAGCCTAAGATGCGTCCTACTTCTTGTTTTGAAGTTCTTCATGAAAATGGAACAATTTGTCACAGCTATAGATACTGCCACCTACTAACGGCATCAACAAGCCGTGGTTTCTAATTTGAGGTAACTATTTTACATCACAAAGAATTGCGCAATATTGCCACATACAGCTCGCGGACTGAGAACCCCTCGTTCATTGCATAAACTTTTTGCCCGGACTTCTCATTCCTACATGTTTGCCTTCTTCCTCACGATGTACAGCAGGGGGTTTCAATATTTTAAGACATGCGGTCACATTCTCCGTTTCTTGCGGGACCGCCTAGTTATAAATAAAGGTAATTTATTGAGATCTGTGGAAGTGCTACTAATTACTATCGCAAACATGTTCATATTTTATAGTTACGTGAAGTTAAAATTCAGACACCAAACTATTTACTACTAAATCATGCTCCTTGGCTACTCTAAAGATTCTTTATCATAGCAAAATATGATTTTATTCTAAACATAATACCTCTTAAAAACACCAATAAGCCAGCTGATTATTTACAACGCCTAAGTAACAAGCAACATGCTGCAGGCAACACGTGATACACGTTGTTTTTAGGAACAGCAGCCTGAATTGCAATGTGAAGCAACGATATCGGTATCGATATCGCTCTAAAATTATATAGCTCGGTGACAGTTTCCAATTTTAAGCAATTTTTTCGCACCCTTGCACAGCGTATCGGCAGCTGAAATTGTGCTGGGTTCTGTAGACGAGCAAAATTTCAGGTGAGGTTTCGAACTGACCAACCGGACCATCCCCCTGCATGAAGCCTTCATTCGGGTTTTCTGCATATGATGTTCCCAGAAATATCCATCTTAGAGTCGTGAATGAATTTCGCATCGAACCGAATAAACTTCGTTAAGTATGAAGTTCAGTTTCGTGCGTTCAAATATTCAGATATCATTCCTCCAGGGCATCTGAGTTTAATTAATTATTTAAAGGCTTGTAGAGAATTCGGTGTCATGCATTTGCCCTTTAAAAGGATCTCTCTTGGATTTAGAGGTCTGCATAACTACTACGATTACAGACATGTGGTCTGATTGTTGCGACCTATAAACACGACTGGCTTACCTTAGCATTCCGCGCTAGTTAAAAAAAAAACAATGTTATACAGGTCACTCGCATCTTGGCTTATCATAACTGGACCGCTCCGGTCCAACTTGGTGTCTTGCCATCTCATAAATTGAACCACTTTACTAACAATATAGATCTTTATCCGGAACATTTCGCCACGCCTACGTACCGCATCTCCAGTGTGGTCACATCATTTTTCACGTGCTGTCTAGGCTACTTGAATTTTAACATTCAGAGCCTTGTAGAGCAAGGCGTACAAAGGGGATGAAATTTAGAGACATGGGCTGGCATGCGACCCGTAGACTCTGCTAGTGATTGCCTATCAGGACATGCAACAACTTTTGAAACTGATTCACAGTTCGAATCCGTTGTC